ATACATATAGTAAATTGAACAAAATAAATTAAACTTAAAAAAGTGCAGTTAAAAAAGGGTCGATGATTTTTAATGCATAAATCTTTTCCGTAACAATAAATCTTTTCAAAAAAAAAAAAAAAATTAATTTAAAAGAAATCACAGTTTCCAGAAAACCTAGCTCAATCGTTATATACTTAGAAAAAATTTATTAGATATTAATTGAATAACCGAGATTCAAAAAATATATCAGAGAAAATCTTAACAAATACATTGGATTTAAAAAATCCATTAAGTTCAAGTGCCAAATATTCGTTGTCAGGCTCTCAGATCCGCAACCAAGCCCAAAGCAAGTAAACATTTCACTTTCGTTTGTGCAAATCTCTCTCTCCCTGCTCTCCCTTGGCTATTGTTACCTTGGTGATTGGAGAAGCGGCTGAAGATGAGGATGGAGATAAGTGTGTAGTTGCTTTGTCACTAATGCTGTTTGTTTTCTCTGCAGCGCAAATAGGGGAAAATATGACAAATAATTATTCGAAATTGGTACTCGCTTGACACACTTAGCAGGCTGTCAAATAAATAGAAATTCAAAACATTTGCCCAGCAAATGACGAAAGAAACAAATACCAATAATAATTTTTACAAGTGACCAAAAATAGAGTTTCGAGCTAAGGTCGCAGCACCGAAGTCTGTGAGTGGCGCGGCTTTGTTTAATGTGGATTGGTGGCTTTGTGGATTTGTGGACTGGTGGCCTGAGAGTCGCTGATTGAAAGCTCGAGTATTGTGGCTTAGAGACGCACATTGGCGAACTTTTGGTTTGGTACCCACGGTTTGGCAAACTTTATTGATGAAATTGTGGGCTTATCGCTGGCTTTGTTTTTATCTTATTTTTCTTTTTGTGCTTGACTTTTTTCGGTCAAATGCAAAAAATACTGCCACTGCTTGCTGCTTGGACCGGCTGCAACTTGAGCTCATTTGTCAGTCGGCGCCAGCGTGGACTTGCTGCTAGTCATTTGTAAAATTCATTGTTTAGCAATCTTCGCAGTCGTGTGTTGTGATTTTTTCTCTGTCTTTTACTTTTTTTCACAAGTTCGTGGCTCATCTGTTTGCCATAGCGGGCAGATTCAGCCAGCCAACTGACTGACAAACTAACTGACTCGCTTTGGCTGCTTTGTTTTGTTTTCTTCAGCTGTTTAAATTGTTGCGTTGTTATGGCCGTGGCGAAGGTGCAAAACTTTCACTTTATGTATTATTGTTTTGCGTGCGAGCTGCGGCTGCAGGCAGCTTCGGAACTCAAAAAGAAATTACAATATTAATGACCATAAATTATGAGCCTGACTCAGTTGCCCCCTTCCCATGCTGCGTGGGTCGAAATTGCAGCTATTAAAACCGCACCACAAAAAAGTCAGAGAGCTTTCGCATGCAATTCTACCCAAATCCAAGAAACTCTGACCCAGACTGCACAACAATGTAGTGCTCATAAAAACGAAAGACTTAAGCAACGAACTCACGTTGTGAAGTAACTTAATAAAATGATTTTAGTGGGGGTGCGCTCATCAGAAAGCTAAAAGCCGAAGATTTCATGACTTCAATTAGTTTTACGACTTTGAGCTTGAGTAACAAAAGTTTTTCTGAATTGCTAATATTGCGAAGAGTTATGACATAGCCAATGCTATCAACAGGCTTGCGGATTTTCTAGATTTAATTTATTTAAATACGGATATCGAATTTAATAGTATAATACTTAAAAAAGCATATTATTCAGATTTTTTTATGTCATAAGAAAACCATCTCTTAACATTAACTAGTTTAAAACATTTGGTCTGCGAATTTTAGTTAGTATTGCCTAACATTTATATCAAATTTCTATAAGCATAAACATGTTTTTCCTATTTTAAATGTCAGCTAAAACAAATGACTTAGGCAACAAACTTTAACAGCTTTTCATTCTACTAAAAAAGTCAGCCATTTAGGCCTCTATTATAGCTGCAGCCATTTCCAAGAAATCAAATGTAGATCTTCCAGAAATCTATTAAGCCTAGTAACAAAAGTTGATTTAACTAAAAARAAAAAAAAAAAAAAAAAAAAAAAAAAAAAACTAATTGATTCAAGCTAAGCAAATAAAAAGCCTTCAAACTGATTCATGCACCAAGTTTGGCCACATCAACTTGTTGTGTGCACCCCACACAGTCTGTTGAACCTTTGTGGCTGCGGCCACTCAAGGCCATTCCCACCAGCAGCGCAAAAACTCGCACAAAAAGCCGCAAGAGCCGCAAGTTCTAATAAATTTTGCAGAAAAACCAAATCAATTTTTTCTCCACTCGGTCTTCTTTTTACGCCGAGAATTCTCATAAATTGTGAACGACCAAAAAAGTCAAAGTGTGGTGGGCGCACCACAAACAGATCAGCGTGCGTCAGTTCAATATTGGACCCAGACGCTGTTTCATCTAACAAAAGCAGCAGCATCAATCGCATCATCATTAGTCAGAGTTAGAGTCAGCCTCAGCCTCAGCGTCAGAGTCGAAGTCAGCCAAGGCTGAAGTCGGCATTTACAAGTAGTTTGGCTAAATTGGTATGTGGTGGGCGTTGTGCTGATTGGCAAAGATTTTGTTGCGTGGGCTGTCGCCACATGACACAATCGTCCAAAGCCGATGCCACTTCACTCGCTTATTTCATTGTGGTTGACTTGCACTTGTTATGCGTTTTCGATTTCTGGACACGAGGGCAGGCTGGCAGGTATTCAACCTACTTTCACCAGAACTTGGTTTCGTTTTCAATGCCTTATACGAGTCGAAGTCCCAAAAACTTTTGGGCTTTCAGCGAGCTGTCAGCCACTGCAAACCGCAGACAAAACCAGAAAGAAAAAAAAAAACGGCTGAAACTGAAATACGCGAGCATCAGCAGATCTGAGCAAAARAAAAAAAAAATATGCGCCGAAAAGAGCAACAAAAGCGAAAGTAAAACAGAGACCAGGTTTTTTCCTGGTCTTATTTTTGAGTTTTTTTGTAGGGCTGCAGACTCGAAATGATGTCATGACTAAAAAGGAATTGCCAAAAATTAAGTTTTTCGTCTGCGCGGCCATAGTCTGCAAGCCAACAAAATCTTGTAGCAATGAAAAGGTACAGAACGGACTGAGGGACGGACAATTGTTGTGTTTTATGCAAAATCATGCAAACTGAATCTGAAACTGAACTGTGAAACAAATGCAAAAGTAACCAGACGACTTTGGCCCAGCCCAGCCCAGTTCCAGTTACAGTTTCAGACGTCAGACGCTTTTTTGTTGCTGTTGTTATTATTTTCATGAGCTTATGCCAGTGCCAGACCCTGAGCCGAAACGACGCCTGCATATAACTAGCCGTAATGCCGTTTCTTTATTTCATTTTTAAGAAATCAACAACAAGCCTTTAAATTTATGACTCATATTAGTTGCTACAAGCAGCAACAGCAGCAGCAGCAGCGCCACCAGCAGCAGCAGCAGCGCCAGCAGCCGCAATTGTCTAAGAGAAAAAACCAACACGGAACCTTTTAGATTGCAATTTGCAACAGTTTTAGCTGCAACTGCTGCAGAGACCCAAAAAACCCGTTTAAACAGTTTAGATTGGCGCCCAATTAACGGCGTCATTTAGCTTTCAAATACAATAGCAAACGTAGACAGAGAGAGAGAGAGAGAGAGAGAGAGAGAGAGAAACATTTGCTGCAATTGCTACTTGTCTCTTATATCTTGAGTGTGTCGTGTGCACGGTAGCTGTGGCAAGTTCGTTGCTTAAGTCTTTTGTTAGCGCCTGTCTAAAGCAATCGGGCCGACTAATAACTTCATTTAAATTAATCTAGTTAATCGTCTCGATGCGTATGTCAGCAATTTAAAATTCAATTACCGCAGCCGCTGCGTTTGATGTTCCCACCGCACAAACAATTTGCATATGGCCCCCATGTGTGTGTGTGTGTGTGTGAATGTGCGCCCGCTGTGGCAGCCACATCCTGTCGCCAGCTGACCGTCATATCCTGTGAGCTGGCCGTAAATTGCAAAAACCGCACATGCTAATCAACTGGCATAGAGGCTGGAGCAAACCGCAATTATTAAATTACAATTACCTGCCTATGCAGTCGGCCTAATCGAATTGCCTCACCTGGAGGCTGAGGGTCGGCTCTGGCTAGCAGAGCTCACTGATACCAGCCAACACCAGCAGCCACACCAGCAGTTGACGCTTCTCGCTAATTAAGCCAGCTGGACCTTAATAGGGGTTGACAGGCGTTTGCGGTAGTTTGTTAAACAAGTGTATGAAGTTCTATATATGTATATGTATCGCAATATGTATGTATGTATTATAATTAATAGCCGGACGGTCGAAAGACAAAAGAATATTTATTGTCTAGGCGTTGAGAGAATCCACTTGAAGTGAGATGTTGTGACGAGCTGTCAGCAGAGCTGCTACTTTGGTCCAAGCAATTAACTTGTTTTGACAGAGATTGATTTTCGTATGATATCTACAACTGTAGACGCGTTGACTCTCTGACATCAGCCTATCAAATTATATCACGATATACATTTAGCTAAAATCAATTATAGTTATTATATAAATTGATGCATGTAATAGAGCTGGACTTATTTAAAACTTGTATATTTTTGCATAAATAACTATTCAGTATTTAT